CCCCATATTTTGAATGCCAAACAAACAAAGGCACGGGTTAAGTTGCTTTTAACCTTTTCATGAAAGAGGGTTTTTTTTCCCTTGCACATCCCCGACACTTGATTCAACGCATCAATACAACACAATTTCTCCACCTTCAACCTTGTGAGACGCAGTGCTTTTAATATGCTTCTCTCTGCCATTGTGCGACTAAGAATGGACCGTACACCGTGTGCCTTCCACAATTTTAATGTGCATTGTAGAAGCCCTAAAGTGCCAAGTGCCATTGCCAGTGTTATGGATGGTGCACATTAGAATCCCCAATGCCACATGCACTCAGAGTATTTTAGGTGGTCCTGTCATACGACCCTTGCTAAGCTATGAAAATGGCATGGAAATGCATTTACTCTAAATGGATTTCAGCCTCATATCATATCTCTGCTGATCATGCAGAGCCATGAAGTGGTAGAGCCCCTGTTAGCCCCTGTGTAGAATACAACTTTATCATTGTGGGAACTTTTTTGCCAGTATCAAAATATGAAAAAATAGGAATAGGGTCTACCCTTTTTGGCAATAAAACAGGTGTTAATATGTTCAAACACCAAATAGATACCTTTTTCAAGGAATGAAGTCTTCATTATATACATATAGCTGCTCACCCCGAGATTTAAATGCTCTAATACGTGCCAATGTCTTTGTGCTGTTCGCCTTTTTGCGTTCTCTGGTCTGACACTGGTGAGACTAGGCCATAAAGAAGGCTGTCACTGGTATAGGCCAATCATTTTCATAGACAATGCAAATATTATCAGAGTTTGTTTGCATTTTAACCAAAGTACACGTGGCTATTGCAGACTTGAGTCCTTGCAATATGTATCTATTTGGTGTTTGAACATCATAACACCTGTTTTATTGCCAGAAAGGGTAAAACCTATTCTTGAATTTTTTTCATATATATAACTTTATCATTGAGCTACTCACACGATAACTATGTGCCTCTATAAAGAGGTGGAAGTTGTTTTATTTGCCTCCTTTCCTGAACCATTCAAACACACACGCACATATTCGCAGAGTTATATATTTGTCTTGAATGTTCACAGGGCCTAATGGGACAAAATCGTGCCAGTTTCAATCAGGACCTGAATCCAATTCCAAGTAGAACAGATTGGATCCTTATTTTCTCAGATCTGACACCAATTCTATACTGTCGAGTATTTGTGTTAAAAGTAGCCCCCACCAGCCATTGCTGCTCAAGTGTGGTGTTAGGCGTCTCCTGCTAATGTATAAAGTCCCGGGTTAGATTCCCAAGCATATTTTACATGTAAGTTATCGACATTAATCTATTACTACAGCAAGATCGGTCGTTGGTCACTCATCTTAATGTACTTGACGATCCAATCAACCAACCAGTTCATGATGCGATCTTGATCAATCACGAATGGGTCATGGATCACATTTTTGTTATGGATCGTGTTCCATACTATGCACGGTCAGTCCAATCATCCAATCCGATTCCAAAAGAATGTAGGGCAGGGTAACCTATTCCACACTATTAATGAAATATATATGCTTTGGCTCATGATCCATTCCTCTGTGGACAGAAAATCAATTATTTCTGAGATGAAAAGTACAGGTAAATTAAATGCTAATGTTACATTTAAGATAACGGACAAAATAAAACAGCGCAAGTGTAAGATAAAAAAAAGAAAACTATACAAACAAGATGGCAGAAATTTCCAAAAATGAAATACATTACGGATTCCAATTGCTATCCTCAATCATGATAACTCATTATATTGTTGGGTGAGGCAAATTGTAAGATGCATTGCTCTTCACACTTTCAGTTAACAAATTTCGTGGCAGATATTCCTCTATAAGTATACAGCTCCTTAAACTTTCGAGGATGAGCCTGGATGCAGAAGAAACGCATTGACACACACACACATGAGAGATGAAATTGATCAAGACAATGAATAATACACTTTTTATGATGATGATGATGATGATGTTGACGATTCGGATGATGGAAATACTCTTCATGAGGATTTTGTCATAATAATACTGCTGATAATGATGGCGTGACAAAGTTGCTGATTATGTTGGTAATGATAATGACAAGGATAATGTCATTTTATTGAGTAACTCCATGAGTCTCAAGGCTCATTTTTGTAATGGTCCTGAAATGTGTCCAATTCCATTTTAATAACTGCATGTGGAAAGAAACAGGAGTACCCAGGAAAAACTCATGCACACAATCAATCAGGATATCTCCCACCTGCCATCAGGATAATACTGCATCCTCTGGGTTGTGCATGCACAACAATGAGTCATCAAGAAATAAAAACGTGATCACAGATGGCCACGTTTAGTGCATTCTTAGAAGGATTGAAATCTTGGGCTCAACTCATAAATGGTTGATTTCCAGATTTTCAAGAAAAATCTGCTGGCACAAATTCTCATGGAAAATGACGAGTCAATTCATGAGCAACATTTTTGCACCAATGTTCTAGGAACATGAAGTGATTATGCAAGCAAGGACCAATCAGGTTCAGACCTGATAATATTTTTTTACCCTTTTATCTGGAAACAAAACTGACACATTTTTTACAAGGAGTCATGTTTGCATTGACCACAATACATGTGGTCGGAATGCAAACAAAAAATACAACTCTGATAATGTATGCACTGTCCTTGAAATTGATTGGTCCACACCCGAGACAGCTTTTCTTAGAGCCTAGTCTCACATGGTGTTGGACCAGATGACGCCAAAAGGCGCACAACTCAAAGACAATGCACCATCAGAGTATGAGAGCTCGGGGTAAGCATTTACACCATGGAACCTCCTTTGCCAGTCGCAAAATATGATATATATTTTTTTACCCTTTTATCTGGCAACAAAACTGACACCTTTTGTTTGCATTCCGACCGCAGGTATTGTGGTCAATGCAAACATGACTCCTTGTAAAAAAGGTGTCAATTTTGTTGCCAGATAAAAGGGTAAAACAACAACGATCATATGTTGCTACTGGCAAAGGAGGTTCCAATCAGGTTCAGACCTGTTTGACACACGTACGGCTCCATATTGTATGTATGGGAATTTGTTTCAATGACTCCTCCTGCAGAGCCACTGGCAACAGAAGAGTTGTACTGCGAAGTCTGGGCATGGTGATTATTGTAATAAGTCCATTATGCAACTTGCAGAAGGGTCATTCGGGCTGCAGCAGCGGAGTGGAGCAGCACTCCCACCTCATGCACACGGAAATAAACACACATGTCTGCGTGTATAGAGCTGAAGGTGAAAACTGGTCAACAGTGCCTGTGTAACCACACCACTGCTGCATCACTTCCTTCTATCAGATGCTGCAACTGTTGCACTCACTGCGAGACCCTACCTCTGGCAGTCGCATCACCATCTGAAAATATTCTTGGGCACCTCTAGGTTCACTAGGCCTTAAATGAGTACCTGATATGGGTGTGAACATCAGTGTTTTGAAGACAAAGGTGGCTAGATGTGGTTCTCGCCACACCATCCCCTCATGTGCCATGCCAAGCCTTAATATGTTTTCACTTATAAGGTTTAACAAAGCATCTGGCTATATCTTCATGAGTATGATTAGTGTATGTATGCCAATTCCACTGCATCCTACTCCACTCAGCAGGGCTTCGTCCTTGGAATGTTAAGGTTGAATTTCCAGCACATTTGCCAAGGTCACAAGTGCTAAAATGCCACATGAATGATGTATCACTCTGTCCACTTCACACAGCCTAGGGTGGAAATATCCACAAGTGCAGAATTGTCAAATGTTTCCACAGTTTTGCAGTAGCTCCACACTAGCACTTTCCCAGGCCTGCTCACTTTGCCCTATTCTACAGACTGCAGAATAGCAGAATAAGGCCTGCAATTGGACTAGGCAGTGACCTCATAAATGACAACAAGCAGGATGGGATCACCTTCTGAAAAAATGGCCATTGCTCCACCAAAATGCAGGAATAAATGCTTAATAGACTGGGCCTTTGGTCTCAATTACAACAATCTTAAAATATTCTGGATTCTAATCTACTTGACATTTAAAATACAAATGGTGGTTCCAATTATATGATCTGATTTTCAAGAAGAAGACTCTTGATTTGGTGGTATATTGCTTCATTTGGTGCCAATATATGAATAACAATGCAATGCCCTAATGTACGGAGCACACTTTGTATAATGAAAATACAGTCAGAGTCTATACATACCCATAAATAAATATGTTACTGAAGCAGAGAGACTCCTCGTCATGTAATTGGGTGAAAGCACTTTTTTAGTGCAGTATGCTCATATACTTACTAAATATATATCAGAAACTTTTGCTTGGCATTCCGTTACATTGAGTGTTGAGTCAATCCTGCAGTGGACTGACCACTTGCTTGGCCATTTATCACTTTTCTTAAAAGGCTCCTAATCAGAGGTTCTTTGCACATGCTTAACAGAGCTTGTCACAGGAAATTAAATAATTTGCTCTCGTACTGCTTAATCTGTGGTCTGAAGTGACTGCTTTGATGTCTGCCCTTTTCGGTAAGAGTAACAAAATGTTTGAAATCCAAATCATTTGACATTTACTCTGCTCTGCACGATACAATCGACTTATTTATTAATGAGGGCAACACTAAAGAAGAGGGCCGTGCTTTGCCACAAGTGGACTATGCAGCAGATGATATTCTTTTCAATATATATATTTTATTGTATTTCAATAGGAGCCCGATACAGAGCAAAAACCGCATTACGAGGTGGTGGGGCTATAGAAAATCCACATATCCAAGTCCAAAACTTTATGTATCCGGGTTTAAAGCAGAGGGGAGAGTGGGTGGGGGGGAAGGTGGTGAGGAGGGGAAAGGCGGAGCAGATGACATTCTTAACGGTCTAGCAGATGGTGATCGCATTTGGCCCATAAAAAAACCAACACAAAACAACTGAGACCTGCCTCACGTGTGCATGCCAGGCTCTAACACGAATGCCTCTCCCGTGGGTGCTCGCCCCCCTGCAGTGTGGAAAAACCCAAGGCGATGTCCCTAATGCTGCACACCGCAGACATCAGCCACCCAGCGAAGAACTGGAACCTGCACCGACGCTGGACCATGTCACTGATGGAAGAGTTCTTCAGGCAGGTTCGTGCAGCAGTTGTGGCATTTCCCTTGTGGCCGTGCCGCCCCTTGAAGCAGTGCTGCTAATCTAGTTTCAATGTTAACTGCTTAGGGATGCTTCTGCACTTGTAATCTTTGGCGCACACGACTTGACACCCCAGAGGTCACTGATACAGTCTCCACGCACAGAAGTTGAAACGATGGTGCAAGTTGCTTAAATTCCCCCACCACCCCCCTGGACTCCGTGGTGGGATAAAGACGCCTGGCCAGTGTGGAAGGGTAGACCAAATACAAAAATACCCTATGGAGATATCCTACTGGTGGAGGTTTTATTTCCACCAGCAGTTCCGTAAGAAAGCAATTGCAGGATGTACCTTTACTACCTATCCTACAGCCAAAGGTCAATGAACCGGGAAGCTGTCTCACACTTTGTAGATTTTCGTTATAATTCGCGATGGGAATTTGGAGAGGATAACCGTTTGCCGCTCTGGAAGAGGGTTTTGGTGATATGGAATTAACAGCTCCTCGCGACAAGGGGGGGGGGGGCGGTATTGTAGCTGGCTGAGAGTATCGGACACCAAGCTGATTTGTAAGCAGTATACTTGGATATAATGGTGCTCATGAAAAACCTGCAAGTTTTCAATAATTAAAAGACATAGCAAAGCTGTAACTTAGCAATGACAGTGTGCGCGCAGCAAAAACATCGAGAAAGATTAACCTTTTCAGGTTTCCTCGGTAACATATTTGGATTTTTTTTCTGGTTTGCACATGGGAAAAGCCAGAAGGAACATGAGGAAAAGCCAGAAAGAACACGACCCACGTATTTGAGAAGTTAACAATCAAAATTAGGTGCCTGTTGGACAAGCAGCAAGCTTCTCTCACATATGCTCAAAACAAATATATGTTTCTCATAATTTAGAAAAACTAAATACATTGACATCTTGAGTATTTTTACAGCACTTCGAGTGGCAGATTTGTGCCAGAAATGCACCACATATGGAAACAAAAAATAATATTGACTTGACCCACTTATAAAAGTTCACATTACAAAAGGGATTATTCTTAATTAACTCATTGAAAATGTTGCTCAATTGAACGTCCACTTTTTTAGTGAACAAATGCTAGGTGCAGCGTGTCTAAGTAATTTTTATGAAGGCCATGTATCTGCCAACTTCAAGGACCTCTCCCGCACAAACAAGTAATAAATATACTATTCAGATTTAACCATAAATATACAATGCGCTGATGGACGCTGCGTGTGATTGTAATCCGCAAGGCTCGTTTTTCATGGCACATTATAATGCTAGTTTGTGTGTCCATTTTGGCCTTCTTGTTAAACCCTATCAAAGTAAACCCTATAATTGTACAGTTAATCATATGGAAATGCTAATTGTGATTTGAGATTAGCTTTTGTTCACATGTGTCTATAATAGGCGAATGGATGCAATGCCTGATAGAACATGGGATCTTTCTTCTGGCTTTATGTGCACCTTTCAGATGTGATTTCTTTTTTTACATTAAGGGAATAAACTCTATCACAAAAATTGTCTACGTATCACAGATGGGAATGTACAATTGGGCCACTGAATAATGCTGCATGTATTACCATCAGTCTCAATCCATTGCTAGATAAGGCCCTCTATGTGTTGGTGCCACCATTCAAAGTGCTGCTCAGCTGCAATGCATCTCACTCCCACACGTGGATTTGATTCGTCATTCCATTTCCTCTCATTCCATTCACCTCAATTGACTTCCAACTACTGGATGTGGTTTACGCGTATATGTGTTCCTTTAACCACAATAAAAAAAAACTCCATCCATGCAATCATATACATCTACAGTACGTTTTATCTTGTGCTGATTTGTCCATATATTTGTTATCTTTCCATTGAGATGCACATTTTTCTAAAGTTTAAATTCACTCACGAATGTTTGTTTGTGTGTGTTTATTGTGCAGGGGGACAAGGAGGCAGAGCTTGGGTTGTCCTTCTCACCACTCTGTGACAGAAATGCGACCATGGTTCCTCAGTCGCAGATTGGTTTGTAAACTCTGACTGTCTGGCTCTTTGATTCGTTGGCTCTGATGATTTGCATAAACCATCACGCGAACTCCGGTCATCCTCGCAACGGTTCCTGGCTGGCCATCAAACAAAGATGGCCACTGCATCACGTGCTTTCGGATGTGCTTCTGCAACCGCTCTTCCTTACAATATTAGGAAGTCACTGGAGCTATGCACGTTTACATCGAGATTGAAAACTCATTTCTTTAGAACAGCTTTTTTGAGTTTAGTTTGCTGTCCTTACCCCGCACCTCTGATTATCACGGTTGGCTACGTACGTTAATAAATAAGTTCAACATACATACAATATCCATTGATAACAATTGGCCAAGGATGAATCCTTATGGCAACACAAATTGCCTCTTTACTGCAGGCAATAATTGCAAACACTTAGCTTTTTTATGATGTTATTCTCATATAATTTGAAAGTTGCAAATACTTAAGCTGAATGGCACACCAAATACAGTACAGATGTTCAATTTGAGAAAAATATATTTTAATAAACCACATGGGTATAGTTTTCTCATTGCATTCCTTTTCTTCAAACTAAAGCAATCTTACAACTCAATTGCCATCACAGTAAGACTGTGTCCACATATTTTACGTAAATTATAATATTAGACAATTCAAATTGATTTACCAAGTTCGTTAATGTGTTAGCTTTAAAGAATTAGAAATTGCACACCAAAAGAAAATACAGAATCCAATATGCGCTAGTCTGAATTTAATGATGCTTTTAATGATTGTTAATAACATACTTGTTATGAGCAACTAGCACAAAGCATTAAGGAATTCAGACTGTCGTAGTTATCGTAACAATTATCTACTTAGAGTTTTTTGTTCGTTAAACCCACTGCTGGATGAGGAGTGTTAGTCATGGGAGGTACTTTGACCATACCTCATTACTCTCGTAAGCGTGCATTAGTAAATGGAAACCCAGGACCAATTCAAATATCACTGCGTCACTAAGGCTAGCTTTGAACTCAGATCACTGGGTTAATAGCGTAGCGCACAAACTACTGAACAATCACTCCATGCCAAAAAAGGCCACAAAGCAAATAACTTGCCTTAATATTTTGCACACAATTATATCTCAAAGTGCCCGCTAATATTCAACTTGCTCCGCAATTAAATTTAGATGCGACCAATTAAGTCATAACTGGCTGTGATGTTTCCATCCTACCTTCCGATGCTAGTGGTTATTTTCGACTCTCTGGTTTTACATTAACAGGTTAAATGTATTTACATTAACAGGTTAAATGTCTCACACTAACACAGCCACCGTTGCTCGTTTTCCTCGATGTGGCGGTGGCTTTGCGATCTTACATTGACATGCTAATCTCTTACATTGACATGCTAATCTCTGACAATACAATGGCCACCTCCGCAGCTTCGTCGTCGTGGAGGTAGCTCTCCGATCTTACATTGACATGCAAATTTATCACTTTAACATCACTAGCCCCGCCCACTTCGTTTATGACCCTTGGGCTACACCCATTTCAAACCTTTAAAACATCCTGCCTCAGCAGCTTTCCCACTATGTTTTCCTCCTGATGACGATTGCCTGTGTTACGATCGAAACGTCGTAGTTTTTTGTTATTTTTTGTTGTTATTTTCTTTGAACCTCTCTACGTGACTTTGCCGAAAGACCCAAGAATGACAATTGCCTGCACATAAATTTAAAGAAAAGACCGTTTGAGACAAGAACAGGCAAAGAGGGCGGACGAATATAATTTCAGGCCTTCACGAGTTGCGGAAAGTGACAGCTGTTCTAAGAAAATGAAATCGAGTTGTGCTGTGATGGTGATATGGGGAGCACAGAAGTCACTCGTGATTGGCAGGGACGGGGCATCGGTTGATGGTGGAGTCATTATGTCCAAAAAATATGTTTGTTTAGATTTTGTTTGTCACAAAGTTTGGACAATGTGCCTTTCTCCACGTGGCTAAGACTGGATTTATAAAACAGGACTTTGTGTAAAGGGTTCCAAACTGCCAGTTTTTATTTATTTTAGTATCTGAAAGTCACTTTAATATTACATCACTGATGAGGGCTTCAAAAGGGGTGATAATTGACTTTCACCTCAATAGATGACAGCATACAGCATGTGCTGCAGCAGTTCCCGAGAAAGAAAAAAGAGCAATGATAATGTGGGTATGTTGATGATGTATGTCGGTGGCAGAGAAAAGAAAAAGTGACGAAAGAAATGCGAAATAAATGGAGCTATGAAATTGGTGCTATTCAACAAAATAATAATGGCCTCTGAATACCTCCCAGGAGTGGTGGTAGGCTTGATTTACGTAGATTAAAGTTGTTGCAGTTTTCCTGAGAAAATGTTGTTGTATATTTAGGAGTGCATGTGTACATGACGCCTCTACATGACAAACTTGCAAACATTATGTGGATATCCTCGCTTGGTGCAAACCGAGGCCAGACGAATCTTTCCCACCGGCACATTGCCAATGTTATTTATTTATGCAAGCTACATCCGAGACAGGGCACACCTTAATTCAGCTGCCCCCCTGCTTTCAAATAAATCCCCATCAGCAAAAACAGCAAACCTATACATACCATTAAAGAAGCAATCATAAAACTCCAGCATACACTCGCACACAAAGATCTTCCATATAGTCCTAACAGATTGTTTGGGCAAGCTCTGTTAGCGAGCACCTATTAATGTCGGGCACGGCACACGAGGGGGTGGGTCGGTGACCGGCACCACGCCTGGCCGCCTTTGTCTCCCGAGTAGCGATGATTACACATCGCACCAGGTGCTCATTTGTAGATGACAAAACAGGACTGGTTCAGATAATCGTCACTGGTGTTGGTGACCATGGGCAGGAATCAAACTCAGGTCACCGGGTTCGTAACACAGCCCACTAATCACTACAATACCGCTTCCCGCTCACACACACAAACGTACACTGAAAAAAAGCCAGACGTACTAGCAGTAATACTGCTACTACCACTATCCAGAATATTAATTTTAACAATGTGAAATTACGCTCAGAAAAAAATGAAATGACCTTCAGTAAAAAAAAAAAACTATTTTCGGCGACAGCAGAACGCTGCATCGTGTGACAATGAAAGCGTCTTCCTCGTCCGTCCGTGCCGGGTTGCAGGTTTTATCGACTACATCGTGGAGCCTACCTTCACGGTGCTGACGGACCTCTCCGAGTTCGTGGTGGCTCCTCTCATCGACGAGGCGGCACGGGCCGGCACGACCAGCTTTCGACGCAGCAGGTGCTGAACGCACACATCACCCGACGACGACAATGACCACGACGCCACGGCAGCGACAGTCGCAATGTGTGGGCTCCTTGTCGATTCGTTGGCAGGTGAAATCTGCCTAGTAGGAAAAAGTAGCTACATATGTAGCTACGGGCCCCGCACTTTCAAGGGCCCCGCGCTAAATGCTTTCAAGCTATCAATTGCGGTTCGGTGATTCTGCACCTGCTCTATTACTATAGTACTATACCGCCTTCAACGGTTATGAACGACTGGGTGTTTAAGGTTAGCGATTTGTTGTATTATCTGGCTGTATAGCAAATGAAATAATACAATTACTATGCAAGTAAAAAATGTGTGTTTTCATATGTGTGTGTTTTTTATTTAGGGCCCCATTATATCATATGCTACAGGCCCCGCGCTAGCTTAATCCGGCACTGCACTCACCCCATCGTCATCTGCCCCCGGTAGACGCAATCTTCATGCCAGCGCTGAAGGACTTTAAGAAGGTCATGGGCACATGAAATTCATCTCCTCCATTCACGTTCCGGGAGTGAAAAATGTCTGCAGGATTGATTCAAAACGAGTAAACGCTGATCCAGTGTTGACATACAGTGTCTCGTCAACATTTAGGCTTGCTTGAATCAATGCTGGTGAACTGCCAGATGTTATACAGCAAGGATCCTCTCTTTAAGATATGGATCTGTTCTATTTTGTTACGTATATTTCCCACAGTGACACGAATTATTGTTTTGTCTTTTGCTTCTGTCCTGTTGGATTGCGTGTTGTGTTTAACGTGACATTAAGCTATCACAGTCTGCATGCTCTGATTTATCTATCTTAAAATGTAACAAGTCAAGCAATTCGAATCAAATATTGTGTCCTACTGTTGGACAAAGTGTTGTCAGATCTTTACGTCCGTTCACACAATGGCACCAACCCGGTGACATTCAGTCGCGAACGCATTCGTTACTTCTAATATCCACAGATAACATGATAACCTACCTTCATTGTGCATTTTGGCTGAATTGTATGCATATGAATGCGTGTGAATATAACCAACTGTTCTGTCAAAGTTGTTGTCTTCATCTTCCAAAGCTGTGTATGTGCGTGTGCATGTTGAACTTTTTGCACCACACGTAACCAATCGTGCTCATCGGAGGAATTAATGAAAGTAAAGTAGATAACTTTGTACTGCTAATTATTATGCACCTATAAATAGTTTCGAGCAGTTATCTTTTTTTAGATAAAAATGACATTCAGAATAACCAAATTAAGATAGTTTCGAGCTGTTATCTTTTTTTAGATAAAAATGACATTCAGAATAACCAACATTTTCAAACATTTTATATTGTACAGTACAATTATGATACAATGTTTTAAAAGGTAATATGTATAAATAAAACGACTAAAGACTAGTTTCAAATACATAGCACCGTCATAAAATGTAAAATTATCTATCACCCTTTGTTATATGCGAAACACGTTTATGATGATCATAATAATTATTATACAGTATAATATATCCCCCCCTCCCTCATAGCTAACTGGCAGCTGAAATGGGATTTTGGCTGTGGAGGAGAATGAGGTTGTGTGCATGGCCTGTTAAGGTTTAATGGAATCCAGAAGGCGTGCCAAGCATCTGAAAAATAGGGCTGTGTGTTTGAAGCGACTAAAGGGGCACTTTGGATATTTTCCTCCATCTGCCTCCTGCTGCTTGCTTCCAATATAACCTCGGGGGATGTGCACGTATTGGGGGTATTTGTGTGCACCAGTGCTTTCGTGCACAAAAAAAAGCCCCTTCGATGCACTCCCTCCCTCCCACCGCCTCTGACGTGGGTGGAGAACTTTTAATGAACCTCCATTAACCCTATCGGCTGCAATTCCACGGCGTGCGTAAAAGCGATTTAATTGTGGAAAGTTTGCGCTGAAGCTGTCTTCCCCAGAAGCTGTTTTGTAGCCGGCGTTTACAGCACGTGGCATTGTAAAGAAAATGACCTTATTAATGTGAGATCTTACAAAGACAGATCTCACAAGTGCCCACAGGCACAGGAAGGCAATAGGGGTATCAGAGAATCACATTGGCTTGTATTGGTGGTCGTGTGTGTGTGAATTTTATCATTGTTCAGCAGAGCCGGAGCTGTGGACTGTAGTTCGTTTATTCTGGTTTTGATTTTAAAGACGTTCTCAAACACTTGCGTCTGTATATATATCTAGCTGGCTCATATGTCCTCGAAATGAAACGTCCTCATAGCCACAATAAATATTGCCAAAGTCATTGACTGGAACACTTAAAATACATTCCAACTGTTGGAAAAGGTACAAGGGAACAAGTCAAATGGAGAAAAAAAACCCACTGCAAGATGCAAGTAAATTAGCTGTATTTTAGGATATGAATTTGACCTTGCAGAGTGATCATGACCTTGAATCCTTAAATAAGAAGCAGAGTCTGGGGTTGAGATTGCTATTGGGTAGAAATTTAATGAAAATAACAATGATGATGACACTGATAGCGATGGTAAAATAATGCACTTCATTTTCAGTCGTAATGACTCATTTCATGGAGTTGGCATGGCAATGCAAAAAAATATTGCTTATTATCATGCGCTAGCTATTACCGCACACAGCGACACATTACCATATTCAGCGTTAGCACTTGGCATTATAAATTGCCTGACACTCTTCCATTTATATTTTGTCTAGGGTTCTCCTTCAAGACAGATGATTTAAACCAAAGTTCCTCTAATAGGAGGTCTTTTCTGTCAACGACCCCACCAAAACACGAGGCCAACGTGTTAATTGGGAGCAATGTGTTTGGAATGAATTTGCGTTCGCGCTGGTAAAACGTTCAAGCGCACGTACGCACTTGCCTCCAGTTGTCGAGCGTGCTGCCCATATTGATTTAGCATACAAAGTAATCGGCAATGCTTTTCATTGGAAAAGCCCGTGCTCAGAAGAAACAAGCAGATTTACTCGGGGGAGAACCAATCTAGACGCGCCGGTTGATACACCCTCTATTCGTCGCCTCCGACTGCACACCACCAGCTCCATCCTGTTGGACAGTTGAGTGCACCTTGGCTGGAGATAATATAAGGCCCTTTTTACGGTCAAATTGAATTTTCACCTGGGAGCTGTTTGGCAATTTGCACTGTATTCACCTGCTGTCAGTCTCCTATTTGGAGTGCTCGAGTGCGAAGGGAACTGGTGAACACAGGGCCCAGGGCAGTGAAACTGAATGCTGTACTCCAGCTCTAAGGATGACATTGCCAAACAGAGGTTGAAGGTCATTCTGATGGAATCGCGCCTCGGTAGCACACAGGGGTGGTTTAAGTCCAGTTTGTCTACAAGTATGGGTGGATGAGGTGTAATTGAGGTGGGACTTTCAATTACGTACATTGTAGGAGGCTGAGCTTTCTCTCTCAGGAAAAGGTCTGGGGAATTAGTGGTTTATTGTGGGATGGAGGGGGAGAGAGCAGATATGGTCTGCATAAGACTCGTCCAGCTCAAACCTCAAAGACACAGATGAAGACGAGGGGTTTATTGTCACAGCACGGAAAACATTACATATTAATTTACCATCTAGCAGTTGGTGTGCCATTCGCAAACTATTTTTCAGAATTTGATCTGGGACACCACGTGTTAAACTTGTGATAGAAGTAAAGATTGTGTTACCTCTTGGCATCCCTTCAAGAAGTAAATGCACAAAGCAGAATTCAAACTTATTTCATCCACCATTGATTCACGAACATAAGTGTGCCTAGTAATTAGTTTAGCAGTGCGAATCTGTGTAATGTCGGCTTTCTGTGTACAAAGTAGGCCAAACGTAATGCCACCACATCGTGATGAGAGCTTACATTACCCACACAACACGATAAGGAGCACAGCGCACATGGGGCACAACAGCGTGGTAGTCAGCGCGCTCCGAACCCAGAAACCCGAATTCGATCCCCGCTCCCGGTCAACACCGGTGATGACTATATATCCGAACCGGTCCTGGGCCTCCTCTAGATCGACTCAGCGTCAAATGAATACCTGCTGTGACAAGTGGACATTGCCACTGGGGAGACAAAGGCGGCCGGGAATGGCGCTGGCCACCCACCCCCCTCGTGTGCCGTGGAAGCCTTCGTGTAAGTGCAGCTCGCTAGCAGCGCTTGCCCCAACAGTCTGTTGAGGCTACACGGAGGGGGGGTGGTGGTGGTGGTGAATCTTTGTCTTTGTATGTGCAGCCTGAACAGCATCGCGCTCTCGGACGGGCGAAGGTCGAGTGCTCGCAGCATCGCCTCGGAGGGGAAACACCCCCCGCCCCGCACCGCCATGCTCGCAGTCGACCCCAAAACGTTCCGAGTGTCCTGGACCGACATCATTACACAGAACAAGGAGAAGTGGAAGGACCAGGCATCCAAAGGTACAAAGTGGGACCCTCGCTGGGAAGCAATTCTGACACGGACTTGCGATTGCAGCGTGCCGGGTTATAGATGTGGACCCGGTAGAGCCGGCCCCCGTCGAAAAACACCTTCTGAGAAGCATCTCTTATTTAGACAACATCCCCCCCTCCACCCACCAGTCAGCCACCACCCCCTCCACCCACCAGTCAGCCACCACCCCCTCCACCCACCACCCCCTCCACCCACCCACCAACCACCACCCCCTCCACCCACCACCCCCTCCACCCACCATCCACCCACCACCCCCTCCACCCACCCACCAACCACCACCCCCTCCACCCACCACCCCCTCCACCCACCATCCACCCACCACCAGCCACCCCCTCCACCCACCATCCACCCACCACCAGCCACCACCACCACCCACCAACAAGCCACCACCCCCTCCACCCACCATCCACCACCCCCTCCACCCACCACCCCTCCACCCCCTCCACCCACCACCAGCCACCACCACCACCCACCAACCAGCCACCACCCCCTCCACCCACCAGCCACCACCCCCTCCACCCACCAACCCCACCACACCCTCCACCCACCAGCTACCATCCCCAACAGACATCACCCTCCCCCCACCACCACAACCACCAAGGCTGTTTAATTAACTTCTTTCCGATAAGCTTTTTTTCAATTCCACAAGATAGAGGAGTGCACAGTAGCATCTACCCAGCAAAAACAAATGATAAAGCAAAATTGTGTCCTCGGGATGTGAGAGAAAGCCCTCTTGGCTGAAGCAGTCACGGTTGTTGCTGCTCACCTCACAACACACGCGCCTGTGTGCACACACTATGTTATCTTTTAATTACAGTTTTAGTCTCTACAAAACGTGGTCAACTTATTTCATTATTTTTTTCACAACATGCGTTGCATGTACAGTACTCGCACACATAAGCCGTCGCTGAAATGATTCTACGTTCCTTTTTACGTTTTTTTTTGTAACAGATTTGATTTCGTAATACACTTACAATGTAAACAGCCTATAAGACAGCCTGCTAGCCTTAAATTATTGTTACCATTCTGTTCAACATAAACACATGCACACGCCTTTCCCTCTACCGGACGTAACATCTGCAAGCATTACGTGATTCCCCCTTATTAACTGAAAATGGCAGATAATTTGACATGTTTTCATCTCTAATAACGTAATGAAGGGCACTTATGATGTTCTTGTCAAAACTGTTTGAACCAGATATCTAACAAATTGAAAATTTGAGTGAGATTCAGAATAGTGATGTTTACTTTCAGGCTTTTTGCCAAATTTCTTCCACTCCCATCTGGCCGATGGAGTTGAAGTAATAATCATATAATTACGTTATTTCACTGATTGTAATGTTGGGCAACTGCCATTGAGTAGCACTTTGCGGAGATAAGCTTTGAGCACGAAGAGAAAAGCCACGCATTCAAGGAGATACCCCTCAAAGGTCCACACGTACAGATTCACAACCCACTTTCTGTACTGCCACCTCCTGGCTATCTCACTGCCCAGTGGGTTTGTCGTCTCGGAGATCGATATGACATTCACCAACCCTTCAAAAGCACCTGGCTGCAGATGTGCACCGCCACCGTGCCTACGGTGCACTGGATGGAGTGAAAATGACGTCCGTCATGCACGTTCTGGCTGGCGTTGGTCGTGAAGGAAACATGTAACACGCTGTGACTCATTCCTCAAACTACACCTGATAAAGCCACAGGATCAAACTGAATGTTTTGCTACATAAAAATAACATTTTATATATATTTATATTTGTAATCACATTGAAAATGCAAAACATAGTTTTAACACTCAGGTAGAGGCAAATCTATGTTTCTTTCAGGGCTCATTAATATATTGTTTGTGTTATTGTTTAAGAGCATGAATATTCCCTTAAAATACATTTTCTTCAAATTGCTTAAACATATATGAGTTTAAACTTCAGCTTTGCAACATATCCCACATCAATGACAGTTATACCATTTCCACATCTGGTACAGCATTAGTTAATGCACTCCTAATCTTTCACCTTGTTGACAGAATTTATCTTCGTTTGACCTTCTTAATTAATGTTGCCTTCAAGCACAAGATCATCTGAAATAGTGCTGCTGAGGCCCTCACTCAACCTCCGCCACCATTACCCTGATTGTCAGAAAACCTCCAGTGCTTCCCAATTCACAGTGGATCACTTACACGATTTCCCTCATTGTCCCCAACACTGACCGATGGCCCACACTTTTCTACTGCTCTGACTTCATATCTTCTCAATCTCCATTAACCATTGCCTCCTCCTGAACCCTTTGATGATATCCCCCCCACCTCAATGTGTAGTCGCTATTCCACCATTGCCCTTATTGTGAGATTGTCTTCCCCTCAATTGTCCACATGTATAATTCCCTCCTGAAATTCAAATTTCAGCTCAAAACCCATGCATGCCTTTTCCACTCTCTATGAATTGTCCTTCCTTTGTATATTTTTGTCATAATTATGCTTGATTTGAAGCTTTCGTGACTGCAGGAATCCATATTCTTTGGTGCTTTTGGTAAAGTCACGTAGGTAGAAAAATAAATAAAATAAAATGAAAATAATATATCACGACGTTTCGATCGCAACATGTGGCCACATAAATAACCTCTTGTTGTAACGGCTCTCTCGCTGGTTCAGCAGTTCCACTGCTGGATTATTTTTTCCCGCCTGAGGACGACCGCTTGTGTTGCGATCGAAACGTCGTGATATGTTATTTTATTTTATTTATTCTTCTACTTACGTGAATTTACCAAAATAACCAAAGAGTATCATTACGCTTGTTAATTGAGGAACGCCTCGGCGAGTCTCATTACTCTCTTTCAGGAGGGTCCTGCCAAGTTTCCACAGTCAGAGGCAATGTTGCTGATGTGTGTAATCCCAATTGAATCATATGCAGAACAAAGTTCAGCTTTGGGATATTTGGCCAATACCAGTTAGAGTGTATATTTGTTTTAGCTTTTCAAACAGTATTTATTCAGTTTGCTTTCCCTTGTATGTTAAACACTACCAGAATGAAACTTTGTAAATATAACGTATAACACCCATAATAGAGTTTTTTTTGGGTTAGATTGCGTAAATATATAAATGTGTTGTTAAACCCACCACCACCCGACACAGCCTCTATTGGGTGATATTGGTTCGCGAAAGCCTCCGTGTTAAAATAACGTATAACACTTGATTTTGTGTTTTTCCCCTATTTTACATTATACAGCATCTTATTATACTCTTCTATTTATATGCTAAACAAGTCGAAATGTTATTCTATACGTACACATATAAGTGCAGTAGACCTGTACGTCAAAATGCAATCACAACAAATGTGGATGCATACAGCCTCGAAATGCGACCACTTTAAAAGCCTTGTACAGGCACCAGTAAGGCATGTTTATTGTATGAAGAGAATTAGTCGGTGATCGAATCTGGACTTGAACAGGTGCAGAGAGTGGCAGCACAGGTGGCTTTGGGAAGGCAATTCCGGACTAGGGGTGCAGCAATGAAAATTAAGCGACCTCCTACAGAGTGAAGGTGACATTCTTAGATGCTGAGGCAGAGGGTGCATAGAGGGGAGGAGAACGAGACGAGGTGGGAGGCAGGTAGGGGCAAGTCCATGGAGGATGTTAACGATGGTGGGTACTATCGTGAAATTGATCTGGAATGAAATAGGCAGCTGTGTAGGTAAGTTTAGGGTGATGTGGTCTCATTTATGGGTCTGGGTGAGAAGTCTCGCAGCATTATTTTTCATCACTTGGCATTTGGATATATTGAATTTGGGGAGGCCATGGAGGAGAGAGTTGAAATGGTCAAGTCGGGATGTGACAAAGGCATGGATGAAGGTTTCAATGGTGGGTGGCTAAAGTATGTGATTCAAATTACTGTTTAAAAATGTATGGGAAATGTGATTCGTAAATGTCTGCCCTGGTATGCCCTATGTTTGGAATAGATGCTGAGGAGAAAGCTCGGAGAGACGAAGAAGTCAGAAAGCAAGAGGAGGAGCTTGAGAGGAAAGCCCAGGAGGAGAAGGAGGAGCAGGAGAAACAGCAGGAAATGGACAGTGATAAAGGAGCTGATGCGAAAGTGGACGGTGGAGAGACTCGTCCCGAAAATGGGATTCAGGAAGATGGGGACATCTCCAACATGGACAGCAGTGCACAGGTGCAAATTGGTAAGATGTCATTTTGTAATGATTATCCACACTTTTTTAAACTTTTCCTCCATATATATGGGCATAGAGATAAGTGTTCGGGTCTTAAAATCCAGAGTTATACAGTATACTATTGAAACCATTTAAAAAAAAATAGAACAGCTTTGCTGATAATGTGTGAAGAAAGTAACAACATATATAATTAGTGGCCTCAGACAAGGACACACTCTTTTTCCATTGTAATTGACATTGACACTAGAGGATATTTTTCTGGAAATTAAATCGCAGAAATAAAGCATCATCATAAATGGGCAAAAATGTTCATAGTTTGAATTGGCTGGGTCATGACTGCCCCTCTAGGGGAGGGGGTTTTGATCGGCCAATGAGATGCCGCCCCTGAGTGCAAGATCGCCCCAAATGGATCGATCCCACAAAATCAAATCCATCCAAACATATTTTTTGTAAACTTTCAAACTGTATTTTTTTATCTTCTTGGTTCTTTCGGTAAAGTCACGTAGAAGGAAAATAATAAAATAATACAAATAAAACATAATAAAATTATTCTCACGACGTTTCGGCCACAACGCAAGCAGCCGTCTTCAGGTGGAGAACAGGTCTGTCGAGAAGACAGAGTCTGAATGACAAGCCCCAGGCTTGGAGCGACTATTTATGCTGGGATGGAGGGGCGAAGAGCGTCTTGACAAAATAACTTGCATATCAAGAGGAATTTAGCATATTTATGGGAAATGCAGATATGCGATTAGTACTACTTGTGAAATGCGTAGGAGGTTTGGCGAGGGGTTTAAAGTCATTATGCCCGTGCATTATGCAGGATTAGCAGTATCAAAGGGAGGGAGTAAGGTTAGAATTAATAAAGGGAAGGAATGTTAATAATATGGCGCTGCAGCAACTAATATGCTTATACATTGTAACTTTACTGTTCTATATGAATGTACATTTTCTAGAAAAAAATATAAAAAAGTAGATTTAACTTTTTAAAATATATACTAAAGATTCAATCATATTTCTCCTGCCTCAGCAGTTTGCCTGCTGTATTTTTTCACCTGAAGACGATTGCTTGTGTTGCGATCAAAACGTCGTGATTTTTTATTATCTTTCTATCTACGTGACTTTACCGAAAGACCCAATGACTACGAAAGATTGTTTTAGGCAATTTTAGGTGGGTCACTGCCCCCACCCCACAGCATTTAGCCCAGCCACCACTGCATACAAGTGGAACACACATTGGATAATGTTTCACTGGGACAGGAATTGAAAGTAACCAACTTCAAATAAAAAGCAGAGCAGGGTGCAGTGATTTTGGAAAACTGAACTTGATAACGAAAACTAACGTACAAATGTGCCTAAAGAATAACGTTTTTATCCGTGCATACTGCCTGCCATGGCACCCGGATAAGTAACACGGACATTGACTGAGAAAATGGAACAAAGAGCTGACATGTGCATAGAGCATGGAGAGATGCATGCTTGGGGGGGAAAACAGGAATAGGAATTCATGGATCGGGGATAAAATGTAAGTTAGAGACATCGTATTGATTGTTAAGAAAAGTAACAAAGTTTGTATTGACGAATGTGTTTTTGTTTTTTTGTGCTTGTGCACCAGAGGTCGCAAACGGGTTTTGATTCCTTACCCGTACCCGTACCCAGCCGCACCAGGGTCGCAAATGGGTACCCGTACCCGTACCCGGCCGGGTACGGGTACCCGTTCCCTACCCATACCCGTACCCTACCCGAAATGAGTGACAAACGGTTACTCACCAGTGACTCACGGCCTACCCGTACCCGTACCCGGCCGCATCAGGGTCGCAAACGGCTACCCGTACCCGGCCGGGTACGGGAAGCCGGGTATCGGGTAGGGTACGGGTATCGGGTACCCGGCTGCGACCTCTGTTGTGCACCAATGTCACCACAGTACCTTGGTAAGTCACCTTACCAGAAGTGATGAGGGCCAATGCTTGAGACGCATGGCAGGGTAGCAGCCATAGGGGGGAGCATGCCTGAGAGGAGCATCCACCGATGAGATGGAATTATGAAATCAGCTGATGTGCAGGAGCTAGATAAAATGTTTCCCGATGCAATATAATGAAGGATAATTTGGGCAGGCCGTCATTCGGCTGATAATGCTGACGATATAAACCGATACGTATATTAATTGAAGCTACACACTGCTCAATAATGCTCTATCAATATTAATATATCCATAATTATAATAAGGAGTGGTTTGATTATGGTTGATGATATATAATGTAATAAAATGCTATAAAGCTGACAGGTAATCAATATCTATGCAGTATTTTACATGGTGGTATCGGGTTACAAACATCAGTCTTGAGAGACTTAAGAATTCTGAGCGTGCATAATTATGACCAACAGTAGACCCAAATCTTACTTTATTTCAGTGATTAATCAGACACCTTACCTCATTGTTTATGTATTACTAGTCTGAGATGCAACACGACGTTCTAATGACAAAGGGATTTCCTCAGGGTTTGTGGCACACACAGCGTGAGAAATGCTGCTGTAAAGTAACACACGTTATTAGTACCGCCACTGGTATTTAATTGTGCAGTCAGTATGCATCTGCTAAGGTAGTTAGGTATCTACTTGCGCACTATACACCAAACACTGCAGTGATAGTTAACGTAATGACTCCGTTGCACTTATTTATGTTTCCAGCAGTTTTAATTATAAATCGGGCCTGGCTTCTGGGCCAGCTTGTGCTTAGAGAGAGTGCTATCGTAAATGCCTTTTTTTTTTAAACCAAACATTAATCAGGAGCAAATGGACTTTCAGCACTTTTGGCAAACGCCAATTGCATAATCTCGAAGGTATTGAATAAAAACGGTCAAAGTGGTTCCCAACAGCATCGCTTTTAAGCATTAAAACACCACCTATCTAATGTAGACACTTTTCCAAATGGAAAGTGCAGCTGAAACAGAAGCTGCCATTTTCATGAGACGTGCGTATCGATGCACACTCTGCGGCGTGTAAAGGCACCAACACCAATTTAACATGATTTATGACATCCTGTCTGGCATATAAAGTAATATAAGAGTTTCTCCGATGGTCTTAAATAACTTTTCTCAAATTTTTATTGCTGTGGTTTTCACACCTGCTGATGATTGCTTGTGTTGCAATTGAAACGGCGTGAGATTTTTTTGGGTTTTTATTATTCTTTTATTTTATTGTTTCCCTTTTACGTGACTTTACCGAAAGAACCAAGAATATGAATCCCTGCAGTCACGAAAGCTTCCAATCAACATTTAATTGTGAAGAAGTTGCCTTTGGTTTCAAAACAGGCCTCTTCGGGTATTTGTGAATGTTGGCTGCGTTGGATGAGGTCACACGAGCATGCATTGTCTCTGGTCCAAATGAACATGATGAGAATCCATAGAAGTGCAGTGATAATCATTCACATCCGTAAGGTGGATTTCATCCAATGCACCCATTGTATGCTTTTATTCAAATATAATCCTTGAGATCTTACATTCATGATCTTAAAATTTTATGTAACTAGATATGTTTCTTTGTAAGTTAATGCTGTTGTTTAACTTGTAATTTAATAATTCTATGTATTGACCCAGGACACTTCACTGAGTCTCAATATTATTTCTGAAGCGTCCTGCATCGGAAAGGTTTATCCTATCCAATTAAGGAGTTCTGTGTATGCAAGAGTAAATCATAATGCCCGGAGAAAATGCACATGTATGAGGCGATAAGCCTCAAAGGTCACATCGGCAATTTCATGATCTCATTTGTTGTAGAGGCAGTCCTCTACTTACGAACACCCGACGTGCGAACAGCTTCCATGAGATTATATTTTTTATGTCGACTAAAAACGCGAACTCGCACTTGCAAACTAAACCATGGAACGATTTTGTTCAACAGAGCGATCCTCCGCGAGATGTAATGAGTCAGCCTCGCGCTGAGAGTGTTTGTGTGTGTGCACGTTCCTGCACATGTATATGTCAAAGTGACTCGGCCTCAAATGAGTACCTGGTGTGGTGTGTAAACACCGCCACTGGGGAAACAAAGACGGCCGGGCGTGGTGTTTGCCACCCACCCCCTCGTGTGCCGTGCCAGCCTTCACAGGTGCTCGCTAACAGCACTTGCTCCAAACAGTCTGTTAGAGGCTATAAGGGAGATCTTTGTGTGTGTGAAAGTGACTGTGCGTGTGGTGGGCAGTGCCATGGGGGGAGGGCCAACTTAAATTGGCCATTCCCCTCATGGCGTCTGTAACCACCACAGCGGCCAAATTGGGGCTCTGGACGGGTGCGAGGGGCTGGTAACCCCTCCACCTTCAATTAATTACCACTAAACTACAAGTTAACAATTGTATTAAGCTTTTGCCGGAGGCCCCGGGGGGACAGGCGTCTATGACGTCTCCTGGCCAAACCCCATTTGGCGGAGCCAGGAGACTGAATCCTTACCTCTAGAAACAACAAAAAACCACTACGTGTGGCCACGTGGAATGTTCGAATGCTCACTGCGGAGGAGAGGCTACCACTCCTCTGTCGGGAGCTGGACCGGTACTGCCTGGATCTGTGTGGTATTTAGGAGGTCCATTGGACCGGCTCTGGCTCCTGCCACCATGAGGGGTGGACAGTCCTCTACTCGGGGCAGGAGACTGCCAAACAACAGGGAGTGGCTCTTCTTCTGAACAAATTAATGAAGGGGGCATGGGAGCGTGGCGGTGAGTTGTGGGAAGCTGTAAGCCCTTGGCTACTTTGGGCTCGCCTTCCCATCAACCAGAGGCAAGGAGTGGTGGTTGTGGTTACTTATGCCCCCATCGAAGATGAACATCCGTGGAGGGATGCAGGCCAGGCCGATGAGTCAGATGCCTTGTATGACCTCCTGTCACAGGTGATTTGCCTACTGACCATCGACTTGTCATCTGTAAGATGCGCATGCTATTCTTCCACTACGGTGGTGGGTGTACACCCAGGGCCCCATTCAAACCCATAGTGGCATGGTCTCAGCTAGCTGATGAAAGTTGCAAGCGAGAATTTCATCATCGCTTGCGGCTTGGGTTGGCATCGTCCTCGACTCCTCCTGATGTCGAGGGGAAATGGGCGATGTTTAGGACTGTGACTCATGCAGCTGCAATGGCTGCTTTGGGTACACGGTCCAAACCTCCCCAGAGACCCTGGCTGACAGAGGAGGTGTTCAGGTTGGCTGAGAAACAGCGACAGGCCCACTCTCATTGGCTACAGCATCCCACGTCGGAGAATGAGAAGGCTTGCACCGCAGCCTTCGCTCAGAGGTTCGGAGAGCCGTGAGACGCTGCAAGGATGGGTGGTGGTTGTGGGTTGCTGAGGAGATTTGAGTCTGCCTCAATGGCCCGCAATCACAAATCGCTCGTTAATTCCGTTAAAAAAGTAACCTGCAGCACCACACCTATTACCATTATTAGGGGAAAGAACGGTGATCCAATCTCCGACCTCCAGGAACAGGTTCGCAGATTTGCTGAGCATTTCTGTAAGCTCGACGATTATCTGAATGAATCATCGGCCTCCCCTAGGTCGACTCAGCTGCAAATTAGTACCTGGTGCGGTGTGTAAGCAACGCCACTGGAGAGACAAAGGCGGTCGGGCGTGGAAATGGCCACCCAACTCCCTCGTGTGCCATGCCGGCCTTCATTGACGTTACTCACTAGCAGCATTTGCCCCAACAGTCTGTGAAGGCTACACGGGGGATCGTTGTCGTCGTTGTTGTGTCACTTGTGTGTGTGCACATGCCCCCCTTGTGTGTGCCATTGTGGGGACTCATTGCACCCCTTCCGACAAGTAAGCCAACATCAGGAGTCAAGGAAAGTGAAAATAAAACAGATGTTTCTATTTCTGTTATTTTATGTTTTGTTTTATTTACTATAAGATATTTATTACAGTATCACGTGCAAATGTACAACATTCATGAGTTTAACAATGCTTTTCTTTTTTGTTGATTCGTAACATATTTTATAGCACTGACCGTATGTGCATTTAAATTAAGTACATTTTATTGTGTCCCGACTTACGAACGGGTCTCAGGAACGGAATCCGTTCGTACGATGAGGACTGCCATACTGCCGTCTCCTGGCCACCTTGCAGCCGAGCTATTTTTACGTTCCACAAATATTCTTGATCCACCATTCCCTTGCTTCCAAAGTTACGGTCATGCGCCGTCATGCCTGGCCCAAATTTACGTTGGCACACTTAAGTTTATCGTGAAAAAAAAACCGGTTTAAGGTGCCCCTTTATACGTCTATACATACTTTTCAACTGAAGAATTAATTTGGCAACATGTAATGTCTGTCCAGGCAACAAGCGCCAATCCTCCACCGCCCAAGATGGTGAAGCAGGAGGTGAAGACAAGAAGAGTACGATTCCTCACGAGCAGCAGCAGCAGCCGTAAGGTAACCAAGGGAAATTCCGCACTTATTCTACTCATGGGACTTGTTTTTTTCTTTCAGGGTACACCAAAAAGCAATGTTATTTAAATACTCTTTGGTTCTTTCGGTAAAAGTCACGTAGATATAAAATAAAATAAATTAAATCACGACGTTTCGGAAGCAACACAAGCGTCCGTCATCGGGTGGGAACGCCACAGCAGGAAACAAACTTGCTGTAGTGGGCAAGAGAGCTGTTTGTGACAAGAGATTATATAAGGTAAGAGGGGGGGAGGAGCCAGGGAGGAGAGATGGAGAGGGTGGGAGGAGTGGCGATAGTCCGACTGAGCAGATTACGCTGCTAGTTCGAAACAATGCCGGAGCTGGGCAATGAGCTGAAGAAATTGGAGATGCGGATATGAAAGCAAACTATAAAGTAATTAAGATTTTACCTGCTTAATTGCAGTCACGAAAACTTCAGATCTAATATGTTATTTGAATTAGAATTTAGTTTGAGTAGATTACTGTTGAACATATTTCCGTCATGTTCTAAAACGTTTCTTTAAAATCCAATTCAGGACATTTTTTGACAGGTTTTTATTTTGTTTATCAGCTGCACACATTTCTTGCAGCGCACAACTTTCAATTTTACTTTTTCCTCACTTACATTTTACCAATGTAACAACTCGCTGAGTTCTGTGGAAATGAAAGAGCTGCCTTGCAAGAGTTCAGATATAGCAGAAGACTTAATTCAAAGCAGCTTGCACCACATGTCACAAAACTGCTCATTCCAATCATTTATATTCTGTACCATTTACATTTTGACTACATTTCATTTTTGAGTTATGAGTTTTTACGTGTGTTGTTATTTTTGTTTAATCTAAAACCGTAATTATTTACTAGTAATTGTCAATTCAGTTAAGTTTTATTTAATTGGTGCACATTCACTCCTTGTGCCAATTAATATTTGGCAAGAAGTACTAATTGTCCCATCTCGCTGTCGATTATCTGATTATCAAAGTGGAAGATTACTCACATATGCAGCATTTCCCTCTTTTTTATTTTGCATAATTGAAAACAACTTGTTTTTCTTACATGATTGAATTTGATTAAACACCGTTTAATTATCTGTATGCATGCAAAATTCGCTTGAACTGTTTCAGCATACATCTTCTTTTACTTTGATATACAATTTGTTAATTCATGTCATCTGAAAAGGGAGTTACGCTCTTTTTTATCACAAATAAAAATCAAGAAGTCACGAATTTACATTTAGCTTACAATTTAAACCACTTGCAAGTACATCCCATATTTTTTTTTATAGTTTCTTGCGAGGCCCATAACCGAAGCTGGACTCCATGTATGGTGAATTGAAAGCTCTGTCAAGCCTGGTATTTTTCACCCAGGAGGCTTGCTTGAAGTTGCGTGGCCGTGTGGATGGGATTTAAGTGAGGGACTTCAAACAGGACCATTAATCAAAATTCTTGAGACCTCCAACATTGCACAGCTACAGTTCATAAATGTACAATCTCCAATGACTCAATAGGAATGCAATGTGTCTTTTCTTTGGGACTCAAAACGCGGTGTATTTACTTGTAGAAATGTGTTTACGCTTTATGCGACGTATATGGCTATACACAGCATATTGTTGCACAACCAGCTGTTCTTATCATGAACGAAATTATAATAAAATATTAAGTCGCCTTTCCATGGACATGCATAATAACAAGTTATGCATCTAAAAGGGCAGCTGGTAATAAACAAGAATATATTACTTATCAACATGGTTATGAATATAATCAAATATTAAAAAAAAAAACATAACAAATTTCTGAAACAAAAAAAACACAACTTAAAAAAGTATTCCGAGAAAGAGTTTAACAAGTTTTCATACCCATAAAAGCTTTAAGAAACAATATGTTCAATCATTATCATACTCATTCTAAACTAATAGTAAGGTATGGGTCTGGCTGGGAGAAAGACAGTTATGTATGCACCATGTTTTGTTCCTCATCCATGGCAGATGAGGCCAATTGAGGCAAATGGATACATCGGGCAGAACACAGAACACATTCGAGGTAATTGTGTTCGCGTGCTGATCGAAGTATGCAGGAGTTCGAGTCTTAAATGGTCCAAGTTGTCAAAACAACCTTAATAATCAAGGCCTCGTTTCAAAAATCGAGTCTGGTGCACAATACAATCCACATCAGGAACAGGAAACTATTGGTTTCTAAGTAGTTTGCAAAACCATGTCAAACAAGAGAACGCTTGTTATTCAATTTACAGTATAAATAACCAGCAAAGAATTAAACACATGGAAAGACACAACACCCAGTTCATGAAGCATTTATGGCATCATTCCTCAGTTAAATCGAAAGGACAGCTATTGTGACAGAAGCTCTACATTTTACATGACCATGCATCGTGACTTTTATAAAATAATTTCTGAGCCTCAGTAGACATTGAATGAAAATACAATACACCTCATCCTACTGATCATCTCCGATATCGCCTGTATGCTTTTGCAAAGCTGGCCATAGCCTCGCAAACTCAAACAGTGGCTCTGTAGATGGTGTGGTCACTGTAACATGTATTTACATACGTGTACATGTGTATTAAATGGACCGGAGCATGCCTGGTCAGCTCCATCCATGGGTGTATCTTAAGTCGTGACATGATGATGCCAGACCACAATGTCCTTGCCCCACCCAAAGCTGATGAATAGCTGCCGGGTTTGGTGATGGTTAATTGATGACAACATTGTTCATGTGAAGTTTGTGGAATGGCTTTTCCAGATAGTTCTGCCGATGTAGTTATCAGAAATTTTGAAATCCATTGGTAATGAATTGGGCCCACAGTTTATGATTTACAAGGCAGAGTTTACTGTGGATAATTGCAAACAAGTGGATAATTCCAATGCTAATGGTGTATTTACATCCCCTAAGGATGTGCATAAGTCCCTAAAATGTATTTTATAGATTTTATTAAGTCGTATTTTTAAAGTCACCTTCGAGGTTACATTTTATGTCATTTTTATGTCTTACAGATGCAGTCCCACCAAGCACAAGAATACTAAGTCTCATCAGCTGCTTTTGCTATGCAGTATGCTTGGGGTTATGAAGTTGGTTTTCACAACCAATCTCAGTGCCACAAAAAAGGAAAATTATTTAAATTTGAAAAACAATGCCGAATAATGCTTTAAAATTGTAAACGTTGAATAGACAAATCTTTATTCAGATTCTATTTATTTTTTTGAATTGTACTAGCTCATTAACAAAGGATAACAGATTGTTTTAAGCTACTGTACTGTTCGGCTTTTGGTTGTCAAGGATATGAATGCAATATAATACTAAGAAAAACACACGACACATATCCCAGCAGTGTGTTCCACGAGTTTGAGTCACAGTACTCGTGTCCAAAGTACAGAGTACCTGGATGCTCTCAGGTAAAGTGGTCCGGCAGTTGCACTAACTGTGCAGCAAAAGGACACAGGGCGGAATGCTGTGTGCTGTCTTCGTTTCCTGCTTCTCGTCCCGTTATCTCGTCTTCGTCTCTCGCCATCGCCTACTGGAATGCTTTTAGGATCACGAATTTGAGATGCTGGTGATGTTGTGTGACACCAGTGCAGTTACTGACATATGTTCTCTCTTATCCAGTGTCATGTGAATTATAATCCAGACCTCCATTGCAGCACAAAGTAAAGCATTCATATGTTTTACTGCCAATGTCAGAAAGAAAAAAAAAACTTCAACCATAATCCCTGTGTGAAATTTCCCAGTACCCAGGAGTCAATGCCACGTTCCTTGATATGAATCATTCGGAGCTGATGCATTCATGTAACATCGTAGCGAATGGCCAACAATTTCAACTGCAAGCCAATGGATGCAACAGACGTAAGAACCAATTACTTTGTGCTGTGTTTGGTCTTTGGAAAGTGTCCAAACTTACGTGTACAAGAAATTACAAGCTTTAAAAGTGTGCTGTTTAAATTGTTGCTCAAGTCTTTGAAAGGTATGTACTCGCTTTTGTCTTCGTGCACCATGGTAATGGGGACGTGTCCTCTTAGACTGTATATGTGTATAAAGCTGATTATATAACTTAAATTACCAGCAGAATTGTGTAATATACACAAGGTTTGCAGTAGCTAACAAAGCTTACAAGTTTGTTTAATACACATTGGCCAGCATTATATAAACCGACAAATATTTACTGTGTTTGTATCTTGTATTTACTTGTCTGTCATCTCCGCCTTTCAAGTCTTTTATTTATTCCTTTTTTTAAATTATGACACGTGCTTCTGTATCAGCCAGCAATTTATCTTCCATGTAAATAAAAAAAACAACCGTTTTGTTTTTGTTGCAGTTTACATCTGCCTGTTCATGTTATTCCAACCATCCAGTCGGAGGCTTCTGTCCCGGAACATCGCGTGGCAGTGCAGGGGGGGGGGGGGGAAGAGAGCGAGACTGTCTTCTTGGTTCTTTCGGTAAAGTCACGTAGAAGGGAAGTAATAAAATAATAAAAATAAAACATAATTAAATAAAATAATTCTCACGACGTTTCGGCTACAACGCAAGCAGCCGTCTTGCGTTGTAGCCGAAACGTCGTGAGAATTATTTTATTTTATTATGTTTTATTTTTATTATTTTATTACTTCCCTTCTACGTGACTTTACCGAAAGAACCAAGAAGATGAATCCCTGCAGTCACGAAAGCTTTAAATCGAGAGCGAGACTGGTGGAGGCGGCTTGTTTTTTCGTTTAACTTCGACAGCACTGCGCGCATGCCGCTGTCCACCTAATGAAAATTGAACACCACACTTCATGCTGCTTGGACCTCAGTAGTCTCCAATCGACCAAGGATTGGATGCCCTTGCACCTCCGTATGGGGACACTTAGTGGCAACCGCTCTCCTTGCAAACTACATCGTGAAGCGTTCATGCACAGCCTACGAAGCACCTCAATGACACTCCACAGTGACACCCCCCCCCCCCCACGTCACAAGGGAACAGGTGTGTGTGTGTGTGTCCCGGCAATTCGAAAAAGGTAAATGTTATTTCACAATGCGCACAACAATTATCTGGAGGAATGTTAACAACATCGTATCTACAATTCCATGCGTTCCAGAGTTATAGAGGATGGGTGGTCGCCAGGAGTATGTGGTGCCTGACTAGGGGTTTTTCAAATACAGTAATAGGTTTAATTCATTGTTCTTTATTTAATTAGGTCAGCACTGCTAAAATTAATTAACTCTGTGAAAGGGAGTCAAGAAACCGACGCAGTAGTTATCTATGGATAACTTATTATAATAACCTATTATAATTGTGATGATGATTGCAGGGGGGGTGCTGCCGTGATGTAACTGACAGTGCAATTGACTTGCAATATCATTTCACCATCCAGTGGTTCAATTCGTTTTCCCAGCGCAGCAGTTGAAACAATGGCCAAGTTTCTTGAGTCTCCCCCACACCCACAGCCTCTGTGCAGTCTGCAGTATAAATGCGTATGCCATTGTGGATCGACATCTGTTGTGTGGTGGGTACTCTCAACTCTTCCAAAATGCGTGGCTAGCATGGAAGACTTGGCCGGATGCCCTCTACAGGGGCTCTTCAGAGCTCCATCGAGTAGAGGCTCTTTCACCAGCAGTGGCATTGAGCGAGAAATTCCAGGGGCTGCACCTGTACCTTGTATTATTATTATAGTACTGTAGTGCAATTTAGATGGCATTGTGAATTGACTCGGAACCGCAAGCCACTTTTGCAATTGCTGTGAGTTGGCGGAAATGAACTGTCCACAATACAAAATGGTTCTTTGGGAGTTCTCGCCGGCCAAAAGACCATTGCCGCCACACACTTCATTTGAATTAGAATACTTGTTTTTTTTCCGCCTGAGGACGACCGCTTGTATTGCGATCGAAACGTCGTGATATATTATTTTTTATTTTGTTTTTCTACCTACGTGACTTTACCGAAGGAACCAAAGAGTATGGATTCCTGCAGTCACGAAAGCTTCAAATCAAGATTAATTACAATACCGTACTTGATTTGGATTGTAGAGTCAATGGCTACTGTACATTGAGGCCGTGCTCTTCTTCTGTTCGCAGCCCTGAACCAGTGGTGGAAATTCCATATTCCTATGGTGGGGGCAAGGTTATCCATAGGACAACCAAAATTGTTTGACTTGCCTGCAAAATGGTAGTCATTTTATTGACCCCGAAGGAATGAACTTGTAACTTTCTGATTGCAAGCCACCCATCTAATACAGTCATCTGGCTGGATTTCTAAAATAGTCATCCGTTTTAAAAGTTCAGTTTACATCACAGTGATCAGCCATGACATACTGGAAGCAAAGGGTAAGGCTTGTTGCCTTACACAATGCACCAAAAACATGTTTATACCACGCAAAGATCATTTCATAAGTTTGATCAAATATAATTTAAAGCATTGAATAGTGCCCGTAAGGCATGGTTGAACAAAAATACAACTATATTCAATTAAAGGCTTTTTTTTTAATAAACCACTTCGTTGATGTAATGCAGACATAATTTGCTACGATGATGAATGATTATGAAATGTTTCTCCAGTGATATATTGTGAAATTCCTTGAGAATTACGGATTTTAACGTTGGTCTTGCTACATGTACAAATTACTAAAACCTAACTATTGAAGCGTTCGTTTATTATTTATTTCTAGTTTACCTGTGCAGTTTCTGGCCATTATTAACGTGCATTTTGCACATTACAACACACCATGATTTGATAGCTCGAAGGTGCATGTAGACGTCGTGTTATCATGTGAGTAACAAAAAACATTCCACAATTTTTAACATATACTTATTCATCGTTACTTTTATTACAGGAACCAAATTTGTTTTATTATGAATATTTTATGTGCTGGTGTTCTTAGGCAATCTGGCCAACTGAGCTTTGGAATAATTGTATTCACTTCAAGATGAAACTATAAACTGAAAAAGCAATTATCAATGACATTTAAGACCATAACCACTCTCAACAGTGTAGAGGTTTTTCAAAACTCCTGTCAAATACTTTATAGAATAATAAAGGACTATTCTCCACTTTAGCCCATGAGATATAAAAAAAACAGATAGAGGGTCTAGAATTATCACTGCATGAGACTAAAGAGAGGATCATAGCGTTTTCCAAAAATGTAATTGTAAAAGTATTAACTGGCATTTATAGATGGAGGAAAAAATTGTTTGAATTTCGAGATGGAGTAGAATTAATTGATACAGAAATCATACAAGAATTGGACCAGGATGGGATTTAGTGAGCAATTCTTTTTGCAAATGGTTGTAAAGTATTAACAATAGCCTCTCTATAATTGCTCTTCATTGATTCAATGAACTAATTTAAAAAGCAGCTGCATGAATGGGTTCTTGGCAATACATTTTGAAAGTTGTATACATACGGTAATATTAAAAAGGTATATATGGAAAGTCTTATATATATTCAATGTATTCACACAAACATTTACTGTACATGAGTATACGGCTAAAAAGCATAGCTTTGTAAACCCAATTTAAGGATGATAAAAAAAATAAGGATCCTACATTTTTGCTGAACCTATGGCTAGTACAAGAATGGATCACGTCAACCATAGCCAGCAAATACGATTAATAAGTTGACAGATAAAAAAAAAACACAAAACATTGCACTTAGTGAGAAAGTAGAATGAGCAGAGAAAATGTTAATGTGGGTGAAGCCACAAACCGCTATGATTTCTTACAATGATTGTTTTGAGTTATGCAGCTGGTAACCAAATCGTCCTTTTTAAGTTTAATAACGGTCGAAATCTGTGCCGCTAAAATATGATCGCGTTTTAATAAGGAATGCATTAATGTTTAATCAAAAACCAACAAAAGTACGCTGAAGGTCAGTGATATTACATAATGCATCAAAAGGTCTGCTCCTTTGAGATGTTGATTAGATGAGGTGTAGAAGCAAACGGGATGTGGTTTGGTGGTGTGACCAGGGTGGTTGATTTTAAGTGTATGCAGGATTGTATAATTTGTTTTACCATCCCCAAATAATCCAATATATTCTGCTGACGGAACCATGTAAACACTCTTCTAAAGTCAATGTATGTTTATACTGTACACACAGAGGAGCCACGAGCTACTTAAAGAAGTGGCTCGGAGTTCCACGATGCCTTACCACCATAGGCCTCTATGGAGATGGTGTCCTCAAGCTGCCCCTCACCAGTCTAACCGAGGAATTCAAGTGTGCAAAAACCAGGCTCCAGATGACACTGAATGAATCTCGAGACCCAGTGGTGAGCAACAACGCGCCGACCTTGGCAACTGGGCGCAAATGGAGGCCAGGAAAAGCAGTCCAGGAGGCAACAGCAGCCCTCAGACATGCTGACATTGTGGGTCATGTTCAGCAAGGGAGAGGAGGCCTTGGGCTAACTAGCCGTGCTGCTTGGAGTAAGGCCACTGCACCAGAGCGGCGGAAGATGGTAGTGCAGGAAGTACGCCATCAGGAGGAGGCTGCAAGGTGGGCCAAGGCAGTCTCTCTTGCCAAACAAGGACAGTGGACTCGATGGGACAGTGTGGAGAAGAGGAAGATCAGCTGGAAGGATCTGTGGGCCATGGAAGCGAGGCGGTTGAGCTTTTCCATCAGAGCAACATATGACATCCTTCCAACACCAGTTAATCTTCACCAATGGTATGGTGAAGATCCGGACTGTGCCCTCTGTTCCATGCCAGCCAACCTCAGGCACATTCTCACAGGGTGTAAAACAAGCCTCACCCAAGGACGCTACACTTGGCGTCACAACCAAGTCCTTAAAAACCTTGCGTCCGCCCTGGAGGACAAGCGAGCTGCCACCAACTCCCTACCACCCCCAGCAGCATCACACCCCTTACGGACGACCTTTGTCCGCGAAGGGGCTAAACCACCGAAGAGCGGCTCTACACCAATAGAGCGAGACCAGCTGCGCTTGGCCCGCGACTGGAAAATGCTAGCTGACATTGGCCGGCAACTTGTGTTTCCTCCGGAGATCGCAACCACCACCCTAAGACCTGACATGGTGCTCTGGTCCAGTTCGCTCAAGAAGGTCTTCATCATTGAGCTCACAGTACCCTGGGAGGACTCAGTAGATGAGGCTTATGAGCGAAAACATCTGCGCTATGCCGATCTAGCTGCCGAAGCACGGCATCATGGCTGGAACACAGAAGTCCGACCAGTGGAGGTGGGCTGCAGAGGTTTTGTGGCAACATCTACAACCAGACTGCTTAGAGACCTGGGAATTAAGGGCCAGAGCCAGCGTTCGGCAATCAGAGCTGTATCGGAGGCGGCAGAAGGCAGCAGTCAGTGGCTCTGGATGAAGAGGAAAGA